ACAGGTTTAAAACCAGCTATCTTCATTGAATGGGTATAGGTAGGTACACTCCTAAGAAGGGGTGACAACATATAAGCAGAACAACCAACCCACAAGGTCTTTGGAAATCACATCAATCTAGCAGTTGGGGAGACTTGCTGAAGCACTAACTTTTATACTTGCCCCACACCAAAACACATCATGTTATCTGCTAGTGACTTCATAAAAACACAGAGCATGGCTGGTCGCAAACATGCTGTCTTCGAGAGCTGTAACAGCATCACATCTATGCTGTGAGCTCATCAGAAAATGACTGAAAATTTATTAAAACCCATTTGCAGCATCCATCTGAACACCATCATTTATTGGAACAAAATCAAAACAGGGTGGGAAAAGAGAAAAAAAATACGGTTATAGTTAACTGGTTATATTTACCTTAATGGGTTTGTTTATAGTAGTAGGATGTTAGTCACATTACTGTTAATTTGTAAACCAATTTGCAATGCAAGAAAGCATGATACTATTGACGAAGCAGAAATGTCACAGTCAGCACTTGGGTCAGGTTAGCTGCACTTTTATAATCCTCAGCCATTATCAAGAGTTCCATTGTCTGAGAGGGCTCAGCAACAAAAAAGGTGGCTTCCCTCCCCACAAAGGACTATATTTTGGGGAGCCATGAGTGCATTTAGCCATTTCAAAAGCATGAAAATTAGTTCTTGCTCGTATGTACAGCTTGAAGGAAATCATACAGTAGTAGCAGAAAAATAGTTCTCTGCTGCTTTTAAGCCAGAAACATATCCACACTTTCACAAACAATTCAAACAGTACCATTTAAAGGCCTGAGGCAATCTTACACCTCTACTATTCCAGAATATTCAAGCCACTGGAAAAGAAGTACACACTTGGGCTGACAGCTATCCTGTTTGAAAAGCTGTATATACAATTCAAGAATAAAAATGACCAAAAAGAAATCTCTTTCAACTCTGAGAAGGACAAGAGAAGGTTGGCTACATGGAGCTGTAATTAGAAGTCTCACCATTAATGTAGGAATTCCTATTCTAAAAGTATTTATTCTTCTCTAGGCTTAGACTCACAGGGAAGGAGGCCTGCAATCTCTCTGTAAAGGTAAGCACAGAAAATGAAAAATAGGTTAAGAATCCTAAGCCAGGAGATCCCAATCTAAACAAACAAACAGAAAAAGCCACACACACTGCAGGCACTGGAGCTCTTGGTAAAAGGGAGAAGAAGGAGACAAAGGGTCATCTGGAAACCTTTTTCAGAGATTAGAGGCAATTTCTTCAGAGGGGACAGATACTTCACTTGTCACCCATTGAGGGAAACGAGCCAGGGAACACTAGACACATGAGAATACACAGTTGTTACACACCAGCAAGATAATGTGTTTTCAGATCCTGGCTAAAAGGGCCGAAACATTAATCCTGAGCTACACAGACAACACCTAGATAAGAACTGAGTTTCTCATTTATTCTGTTGTAAAAGACAGGAGAAGGATAAGGTGTAATTATGATTCAATTAATATTTTCCTATGACGTGCCAATTTCTAAGCAGGCTTCTCTGTACCTTTCCTCTTTCCTATCTAGGAAATAAGCTTTTAAGTGTTTTGATTATAAGGCTAGCTCTCTGGGGAGGAGACAGAGGAAGAGAGGAAGCACAGAGTCTGATGGAAGGGGACTTCTTAAAGCAGAAGACTATAGGAATTTCCATCATTGCCATGTCTGAAAGCAGAGGTGCAGACAGATGTCTGATGCGTTTTTCCTTTCAGTATTTGCTCCAACACAGAGATCCGAGGTGCTTCGTTAGTTGCCTAGAGGAAAAACGACCTGACATACATAAACTGATACTAGACATCGCCACAAAGCTCATTCTTCTGCAAAGACCTGTAGACAGAGAACATATCGCTGCAAATGTTCCCACCACATAATCACAAGTCATTAAAACATCCACAGACAGAAGCGTCAGGAGCTGAAGCATGCTTATGGGCTACCAAGATGCTTCCCTTCTCGCTCACCCACCCCCCCCCCCCCCTTTGTTTTAATAACCCTTTGATACACATCAGAATTTTACAAGTGAAGGAAACTTGACGATTGTCAGAGAAGTGTCTTTACCCAGTATGGTACTAAGCAGCTGACAAACTCTCCTCTTCCAATAACCTAGGGCACAAGCCAACTTTCAAGAACTTTTGTTTGGAAACTCAGGAAATCCAGCAAAATCTTGGTCAGTTTTCACAGGAGCCATTTCTGAATCATGACTAATGCAACACACCAGCTGTATGATGGATTACCCTTAAGGAAGGAACCACCTGGTTATTGTAACAGAGGCAGGCATATCAAAAAACCCAACATTTGCAGCCTATTGCCCATATGACTCCCCACAGCTATTACTTCCAGAGCTCCTTCACATCCAGCTCTATCGTCAGGAAAGGAGAAGAGCCATTTCGCATTGTGGTATACAAGTGGCAAGCTCTCACACCCAGCTCCTCCGCTAAAAGGGATTCCACCTGCCCATAGCCCACCACTTCCCCAGCCTTTGAAAAGCCACCCGAGAATCCCTTGATCGTGGGCCAGCAGCATGCCCTGGCGCAGAGGCAGACTGCACCCACCTCCGCTCACCTGGCAGCCTAAGCTCCTGGGCGATAGCTGCACGATCATGAGCTCTCAGACTCAACTTTCAAGTTCTCTGGCAAGTCCAGGCAGGCCTTGCACTTTCAAAACACAGGCAACTAAGTGTTTAAAAGGCTGACTACCAAAAGCAGCATTATGGGATCTTTTTGTCTCCCTAGCCTTAGATAGTCCACCCATTCAAAAAAGAAAGTAATACAATTCATATATGTAGATGGCTGCAGGACAAGCCAGTGATCCATAGAGACAAGGCAGATGGCATGATAATCGTCTCCACAAGATTACCACTCTTCAACAAAAGGTATAAGGTCTTTACACAGTACCTTGCCAGGTACCATTGGCCAGAGCTTTTTCACTGCATCTTCCTCTAGCCACTGAAGATTAAGTCCATCAGAGGGAACCTACAAGCTTTACAAACAAAAGAAAACCATCTTGCAATTTCAATACCAACCCTGTTTGCCAACAGCCTACTACATAAACAGTCTAGATGTTATTGTTCACAAGTCATGCTAACAGTATAGCCCCAGCAGCAACACACCCTGCACTGATCCATGGTGTATGTTAATGGATCATGACTGGGTGTAGGCCCTCAGCAGATTTTAAGCCTCTTTTCAATGAAGTACAGCTCTCCAAAATAACTTCTGGGCCATCAGCAGTGACAACCCTGAGCTACAGAAGACCTCCAGTAAACTCCTCCCATTCACACAAGCTTATTTTCCTTCTCTCCAGAAATCTAGACTCATTTGTACACTTAAAATCTCCCTAAATCACTCTTTGTCTATACAGCTACATGGGCTCACTTACAGGATATGCTGCAGCTGTAAAGGAGGCTATGCAGTGTTCGTTATAATGTTGCTTTTTAATTGTTAATAGAGCAAAGTCAAGCTATAGCAATATTAAAGCAGAAGAGAGAGGATTAACATAATTTAAAAAAAAAAGTCTTATCATGGTCAAGGGTTTAGTTTGAAGCTCAAACAGTGCATGGGGTATAACAAAGCAATGAGAAAACAGGATCTGGGCCGCAATGAATGTTGTGTGTAAGTTATACCTTAAAACAGGTAGAAACTGAACCAAAACTTTACAGCAGTGGAAGCAGGATGGAACTTTTAAGGCCAGCTGAGCCCATTCAAGTGGCAACAGAAGGTCAGGAAATGGCCTCAACCTGCATTTCAGGTGCTACGGTTAGAAATGATCGGAGAGTCCCTTGGCTACAAGGTAGTTCTACTGAAGCTGTCCCATCAGCCATCTGTGTTGCTCAGAGGTGTTTGATCCAATGCAAATATTAACAGCAGCAAGGGACAAAAAGGGGGTGCACTCAGCACCGAGTCCCAAAGACATCACCTCCAACACTGTCACACCAGGTGACCCGGGCTGTGCACAAGCCCAGAACATCCTAACGTTACTCCATAATCTTTTCAACTTATGCACTGCCTACACCTTTTCTGTTATAAGCATGTAAAGTATGGGCTTCCAGGGAGATTTCTCAGTTTTCCTCAAATGCAACTTATTTTTACACACAGGGGGTGGCAGGCAAGATTCTGACGCGCTGGTTCAACCAAGCGCAACCTCTTGAATAGAACTCAGCAAAACCAACCAAAGACACCACGAACCGGCATCAGCGTTTTAAGTAGCCGAGCTCCGGCAGATGGCTGCTTCTGTGCCCGACAGCCTGCGGATACCGTCCCTTCCCCAACAGTACGAGGCTGCACTAGCTGGATGGCTTACGGCTGGTGCTCGCACCCTCTGTACCACCTGGCCAAGCCGCCGCAGGAGAGTGAAGCTTCTCGCAGGCCTCGCTCTGTCTTCTCATACACCAATCAAGTGCAGGATTTCGGCGCTGCAAGACCCGGAGCGGCGGAGCCCTTCTCTTTCTCACTCCTCCTCTCCCCTTGTCAAACCGCGCCGGGAGACCGGACCCACCACCGGGGAGACGGCTTAAGCAGCGGGACGGTGTGCTCCGGCGGCTGCGGGTAGCAGAGGCACCCCCAGTCCGAGCCCCAGCCTTCCCGGCAGGCGAGGCGAGGAGCCCGGCGCTTTCCGAGCTGCCCCACAAAGTTACCATCGAAGTTCCCGCGGCGAAACAAAAGATCGAGCGGGAGCGGCGGGCGCGGGGCCCCCGGCGCCCGCCCGCCCCGACGCTGCTCCGGGGGCGGTCGGGGAAGGGTCGCGCCGCCGCGGCCGCCTCACGCCGGGCAGGGGCGGTTCGCCGGGGGCTCGCCCGAAGCGGCGATCCCGCCTCTCCGCCAACTACTGCCAGCCCGGCACCACGCTCCGGCAGCACCGGGCGGGGAGACGGGCGGAGGGGAACGAGGGGAGTACGGGACGGGCGAGGCGGGGATCCATTCATTTTCGGCAGCGCGGCGCGGCCTCGGCTGTGCTCACCTTGCTCTTCACTTCCACCGCGCTGCACTCCAGATACCGCAGAGTCTGAGATTTGTTGAAACTCCGGTTCATCTTCCCGGCCCCGCTGCCCTTTCCTCCCCGCTGCGCCGCCGCCTCACGCCCGCCGCGGGCCGGAGCGCCCACCGGGACGCGCCCCCGCCCCCGCGAGCCGATCGGCCCCGCTAGCACGCGGCGCCCCGCTCAGCGCTACTTTGTGCGCGCGTCTCCCCCCCTCCGCTCGCGCGCGCCAATAGAGAACAGCCGCTCAGCCGCGCTCGCGCTCCGGGTCTCCCGAGCCAGCCGCGCGCCCGCGCTCCGGCCGTCGGGCCACGCCCACTGGCACGCCCATCACCCTCCCAACGCCGCCGCCGATTGGCTGCACCCCGCTTCAGTCCCGCCCCATGCCCCACGCGTGTGCGCGGCTGCGGGCGGCGGGCCCGGACGTTCCTCGCGGTGACGGGAGGCGGGCGGGGGTGCTGGGGAAGCGGTGCAGAGCGCTGCCGGAGGGGCTGGCGGGGGTACAGGCGGTGCCTTCTTAGCGCGGCGGTGGTGTTAGGCCCCGGCACCTGCCCGCTCCCACAGGCCGTGAGTGGTCCCGCCACCAAAATCACTTCCGATGCTGAAAGTGCACCCAAAGCAGCCGTCGTACCGTGGTGCGCTGGGGGTGGCCGTAGCGTTGGCACTAAGACCCGCGCGAACTTTCCAAACAGCACTGGCTGTTCATTAAGAGCGTTGGGGTGTGAAAATTGCTGGCAGTCATTAATTTGAGACCACAGACCATGAGGTTTGGGAGGAGAGTTTCCACCACTCCCTCCTTTAAATAAATCGGTGGATTGCCTCCCTCTGCTACCAGTCCTTATTAATTAGGTAGGTTACTAATTTGGGAATCTCAAAGGAACTTACTTCTTTCCATCTTCTGCCAAGGACCTTTATAATTCTTCTAACAGACCTTTTCTCTTCAGTCAGTGCCTTTATTCGCTGACAGCCTTTGACAATGATGTGTTTTCCTACACAGTCCTGCCCAAGGCACCAGTCATGATGTAAAGAAGCTGAGGACAAGGCAGGGACCTGTGCAACCTGCTTCCTACTGCTCGACATCTCCTAGGGTTGTCTGCCTGTCCAAGGAAGGAGCATAAATTCCCAGCAGATGTGACAAATCACCCAGACCCACTGGCCAGGTATCAATGGCAGCAACAGGGAATACCCACAACTTCAGGGGCAGGAAAAAACGACTGAGCTGACTTTTCATGTGACTCCAAATGGGAGGATCAAAGTGTATGTCCCAGCTACAAACCAGCTTCAGCTTACTGGAAAATGGATTGAAATGATCATTAACCACATGTTCCGGGCTTGCACTGTATTCAGAAGGTTTGCTGTAACTCAAGCTAGAAAAATAAAGTCCAGAGAGCTGAGAAAGGAAATGTTTGTGTGAACTTGGTCTTTTCCTCTTTTTATCTTAGTATGAGCAATGCATCAACTTTGCCTTCCTGCTGTGATGGCCAAGTCCGAGCTGTGGAGATACAGAATCCCTGGGGTGCCCAGGGCCTGAATATCCCTCCTGGGAGTTTTCCATCCAAAGATGGAACTTGAAATTCAACAGCTGGATCCATATGGTTTAGTTGTTCCACATCTGGAGCAACAAGTCCAGTTCACTGGAGGGAAGTTAATCAGTAGTTGAAGGACCGGTCTAGTCATGTAACCTCCAGCGGGGATTGGTTGCATCTGGTATTGCTTGCATCACTGGGAGTATTAGGAGGGACTTCAGGTGGGATGTTATTCCAGCCCACCCGTCCTCCAGCTGACCCTCAGAAAGGGACCCTGCTGTTTACATTACCTCCTAGGTCTAGAAAAAGCCCTTAAGGGAGTGCCCTTACACTCTTCAGGCATGTAAGATGCAGTTGAATTTAGAATTATAACCACAGAGAAGGAAAGATCTGTGTTAAATTTTGTCTCAAATATTTACTTTGCTTATTTCTTTTATAAGAAAAAGTAAGTTCTCAACACTTGGCAATCAATAAGCAATTTAATTTTAGTCTTTAGATTTGGTACTTCTTGTATTTGTGATTTTCATTTGAGAAACACAGATTAAACTAATTTATCTTTTTTTCAATTTATTTTATGCTTCCTTCAGGGAGTGCATGTGTTTCATTACCATCTCTTTCATATTAATAAAGACTATTCAAACTAATAATTCCTACCAAGCTGTGTGTAAACAGAATGGGAATTCAATAACAATGAACAAAAAACTATATATTTTGGGGTGAGATAAAAGCTGGCAAGCCATGCTGGATGTGTAAATAATAAGGATACATTTTTCAAAGCATTGATTTATCAGCAGAGCTGAGGGGACTTCCATACTCCCTCCCCTGTCAGCAGCAGCCATTGAAGATCCTGTTCATGTTTCCATGAATACACAATCCTCTTCTTCTCATCTGCCCTGCCTTTGAAGCTAACAGGTGTATTGAGGACACGAGTTACTGTATTTGCGGAGTGGAGCTAATGTTGTTTCCATTTCTTCTATCCTCCCAGAATTTAGAAGTGGTAGATCACTGCCTCTCTTATTTATTTATTGTTTTATTCACCCATAAGAAGAGCTGCTTTTCTGCTGTTCCATTCCTGCCCCCATTTTCAGCCTCACATTAAACACTTACTGTAGTAAACAGAGTGAATACACTAGCATGAGGAAATCTGCTTTTTATACCTTCAAAGAGGCTATTGCTAGCAAAGGCTCTTTTCAAACTGCTGCAAAAAAAAATTGGTTTCTGCCACTTTTTCTCAGTTGATTTTTTGTTTTTTTTTTGTTTGTTTGCCTCTTTAAAAAAACCTCCATCGGTAAATGAAAAAGATATTTGAATTTCAATTATTTTTCTTCAGGTTTTAATAAGCATTGCCAGGATTTCAAATATAATGTCGAACAGATTTTTGAAATACAAGTCTTTTACCTAAAAGAAATCTAATTTGAATTAAATACCCATTCTTTTGTTAATTAACGTAAACAATTTTTACCCACTCTGATCCGGGGAATGATCAGTTTCTGGATAGCTTATTGATTAGGCTGAACCAGGCACATACATGGGTAGTGGGTCACAGTATGAAAAATTGGCTGTATAATTTAATTAGTAGGAAAATACTATAATCTCATACAAGTATTTATTAATGTATCATTTAGTATTAACTATTAATGTAATTAAAATTATTCAAAGTGACTTCTCAGCCAAGCTTCACTGAAATCCAGTTTGTTCCATTTTTGTAAATCCCCTAAGATACTCCTTCTTTTTTTCCCATTTCCAATTACTTGCAGATTCAATCCCTTTCCTCCAGAGCAGAGCTGATGCACAACTGAAACAACTTGAGAAGTCCCCCTCTTCTCTTGACTCCACTTCCTATGCCTGCACTGTAAAGAGCAGTGACTTCAGCTCGGTGTACCAGGAGGAACCATAACACTGCGTGTACTCCCAGGCTGCAGCCCCTACCAGCTGTTTTCTTCCTCAGACTCAGACACAAAGATGGTTTTAATTTAACTGCTTTTGCTCAGGCACCTTTCAGGGTTGGTTTTTCTCATCGCTTGCCAAGGGCACCGCATTCCTTTGACAATTTCTATAAATCTCCATCTGTTTTAGTAATCCATAGTTAGTTTACCCTGCTTGTGACCTGCACAGCTTTTAAATCACCATTTCTTCCTGGGTGCCTGTCTCTCAGGCACCTTGTTTCCAGATGCAGCCAAAGCATGTGGACGTGTTCTTGCCCTGCAACATAGCCCCTTTCTGAGTGCACAATGAATCAAATACATTTGGTTCTTGCCCTAAACTAGGCAGAGGTGCCACAGCCCAGGGATCCTAGCAGTATGTTTAAAAAGTATTCAGATACTCCTGTTTCCAAAGCTTTTTCTTTACCAGACCAATGAAAGGTGCTGCAACATTTGCCTGATTCACACCCCTGCAATGCTGTTTTTCAGAATGCAAGGGGCTTCCCTCCAACTAGCTGCATGCCTCATCAGTATTAGCAAGTCATCTGCATGCTCTGAGAGGTGAAAAAATACCCCAGACACATGCAAGGATTTTTTTTTCTCTCCCCCTCCTTGCTCCAAATTTGCAAGAGTTACAAAGAGTAAGTCCTAAGGGCCTGGGGGATCTGCTGCAATGACAGGCTGGTTTTGGTTTCTATAAATGTAAACCAAAATGAAGCACAGCACAAGGGGGAGAAGAGGAGGGATGACAGCTTTATTTAATACTTTTTATTGTCTTTCTTGTGGCAAGCAGTGTCCCTGCCACAGTGAGGATGGTTTCTACTTCATCAGGTGCAGAGGATAATGCCAGAGAACATCAGTTGCCCCAGAGCAGGGCCTATCTAGATGGCAGCAGGAAGAATAATACCACCAGCCACAGCAGTAATGGATGCTCCAGGACAGAAGACCAGCTGCTGCAGTGCTTTTCCATTGTTCCAACCCTCGGTGGTGAAATGTCTTCATTTTCTTTCCTTTTAAGAGCTTTCGCCTTCAGGCCCTCAAGAGATGTATGTGCACCTAATGGGAAAAAGAGCAAAGAGAGATGGTGTTTGTTCTCAAAGGGTGCTTCTCTTCTACCAGGATGAGGGAGCATCAAAGTAACCTCTTGCATGACTTTACTACAAAGTACTCCAGGAGGAGAGGCCAGAGCTGTAGCTGAGGGAACAGCATCTGCTGAGCTGCACTTAAGACCTCACAAGCAAGCATGAGATGGGCAGTTGCTATTGCAGCTCCCAGGGTTTCTCCAGAGAACTGCTTCACACTACTGCTATCCTTTCCCTTTAATATTTGTCCAGAATTCTACTCCCAACACTGGGCTTTGTTATCACTACCTAAAGGCTGGCCATACCCTGAGAGGTCTTGGGATGCTGTGCATGGCAGCGCTGCCCCAAAGCAGGGGAGAAAGCCACACTAACCATCCCCCTCCAAAGAGGCATGTGCTCTCAAAAAGGCCAGATGAAGCCCTAGGGATGAGAATTTGAAAGCTTCAAAAGGATGCCAGGAGCACTGTATTTTAGAGGTCAATTTTCTTCTGTTTAGAAACAGCACTGGGAAGGGAGCAGTATGATGCTGCTCATGTGCTGAGGGGAGCAGGTGAAGTTCCCCAGGCTGTCCGCATGCAGGTACTCCAGCTTCAGCAGATCAGGTCAACGTGTTCTTGTATCAGCCAAAAATTTTCCACCCTTGCCTTAACTGGTGTATACTACAGGACCAGTTACTTATCCACACGTATCAGCATGCAAAGAATTTGGGAACCAAAGCATCTGGGATACCACAATCCCAGTGGTCAAGCTCTTGAGCATACCAGATAGGGAGTAAGGGTGGGTTATGAGACTGATTACATCTGAATTGTGGTTAAAAACATCAGCACTTTATAAGGGTGGCAAAGTTGAGTTTGATTGGCAGAGGTGAGTTTGGTGGTGGGAGGAGGGAGAAGAGAGGATCATGCTCCTTATTATGCTCCCAGAGTATGCTCTGGTGATATGAATCACCAGGATAGACATTGCCCCCAAAACACAGAAATATTCAAACTATATTGTTCTGAACATGTATTTGCTAAATTTCTTTTTTTTTTTTCCCTCAATTGCTTTCATTCTTGGTTTTCTTTTCTTAGCTAAGGAGAAAAAGCAGTAACATTCCCCAGACATCATTAATTTCAGCAGAATAATAAATTTCATCCTCCACCAATTGTCCAGCAGTAGGTCCTGCTACTTCCACATGCGGTAAAGATGTTGTTTACAATGTGATTTCTTGCTGTGGAGCATTGGAATCATCACAGACTTTACATGCAGTAGCTCATACGCCTCGCATAGTGCAGCCAGGTTTCTGTGTCTACTGCATGCTTTTGTGACTTCATACTAAGGGTAGCAGAGATTAAAGAAACAAATAAAAAAAAGCAGGGAGAAGAAAAAGGGAGAAAGCAGAGGTTCTAGCAAAGAAGAGGGTTTTACTGGTTGGTACTATGGGTTTGGGACATTCAGTGGCTGTTCAGGAAGCACTGAGTTGTTTTTGGGAGCTCTTTAAGTCTCTAGACTAAAGCTGCTGTGCGGATAGCAGCTACTTAGGATACTAGAATGACTACTGCAAATAGTTTTAAAGCACAACTGATTTAAAGGCAGCACTGTTGATCACAAGTCTGGGGTGTGCAAGCATCTGCCTGGTTCTCTTCTTCCAAGAGAAAGCTGTGCTTCACTCTGTCCCTTTATTGTTGGTCCTACTTCTACAATACACCGAAGAATAATTATAAGTTGGCAAGTGCAGGATACATCTTCTAATTGGGTCAGTGCTATCAAACAATTTATGCAGTTGGTGTCACTTTTATCTCTCTAAGCATCTTATCTGTGAAAATTTGAATGAGCTGTTGAAACACACCCTATGACGCTGGCATTACCAAATTTTCTAATGAGTTAAGGTGAC